ACAATTTATGAAGATACGCATTTAAGATTTCTGTTTTCTGTTTATAATAAGATTTCTGTTTTGATGTATAATCTAAAGTATTCAATCCACAAAATGATGTTTGAACAGCAGTGAACGCGGCTAGTATAGTTGGGACAATTACTGGAAGCATTAATCCACCAGTTACGGCTGTTGCCACTGTTACTCCTACTGTTATAAATGTGCTAAATGTTTTGAAACAGAATCGATTCTATTCCATGTTTTCCTACATTTTTTGTATTGTTCTAGTTTTACTTTTAACTCATTTTGTTTGTCTATCGTGTATTGTTGTCTGCTTTCGAGTTCCATTTTTAGGTAATGAAATTAAGTGAACTTCTGATAAACTAAAATATGGATATTTTTTATTATCTAAAATAGCTCTCCCAAGAATTATTCCATCATATATTAATACAGGTTTTAAAATAATAACTTCTACAGTTACTAACGATAATTCTTCTTTTGAATCATTAATGTTATCCAGGGGAAATGAAAATTTTGTTTTTTTAATATTGATGTTTATCCTACATCTACAAGTATATATACCACCAATTTGTACACTCTCTTCATGTTCAATTATTGATGAAAATATTATAAATTCTTTATCTTGTTGACTTTTATGAATATCAACAGAGGTAAATAAATCCTTAGAATGCCTTAGTTCGGATGAAAAACTATTATAGCAAAATAATAGTTTTACATATTACAAGTCTGTTGCTCGTGAAAACTCATAACTCCTTTCTTCCCTTTCTTTTTGCGGTTCTGGAATTATTATAATATTCATTGATGGTGGAAAGAAGACGGAGTTCATAAAATTTAGATTTATTTTTTTTCTAAGATATTTTCCCATTTATTAAAGACTGATGGTTTAACGTAATGTTTGTAGATGAAGAAATTATATATATATATCCTTAGGTTTTAGGGTTCTAAAATCTTTATTGTAAAATTTATGAGAAATAATATCAATGCAACTTTTCCATTTAAATTCATTTGTATTTTCGTTTTGAAATTCTGTGAATGATCTGTTTTCTAAAGCTCTTTTAATTCCTTGTAGTTCAAAGTAAGAGGGCTTTCTAATTGGCAAACTTGGATTATATCTTTTTTTATAAAGTTGATAATAAAAGTTTTGTTATTCATTTGTAAATTTTTATTGTCCCATATTACCTGATTTTTAATATCTATATATTTATCTATGTGTACAGTGAAAATTCATACCAGTTGTTGTATAAGGAACCGTAAAAGGGGTTATTAATTCTATTAACCTTACAAAAGTTACAAAAAGGCAGGATAGTTCCCCCATAAGCATTTAAAATGTAATTATATGGTATTAACCATGTAGATGTTGGATTAAAGATTTTTTTTTTTAATCCAAAATAGACTTTGGCACTTTAGAACTTATCAATATCAATCATGTTTCACCCCCCATTCTTTAAATTTTGAGTAATATTATTTCTTTTCAATTCATCAGGTCCATTTCATAGAAAAAGATATATTTTTTCATTAAATAATTTTTTAAAATGAGGTGGCGTATACAGTATACAGGGTCGTTGAAGGGTATATGAATTTCGGAAGTAAAAAAGTTTTTATGATCTGTATTTTAGTTTCATTTCAGATAGTTTCAATTGTTTTTCAAATAAATCTTTTAGTTGTCTCTTTAATTTAGCTTTCTTTTTACTATATTCTATCG